ATGAGGATAGATTGGGGAAGTTGGGACTGTTCTCCTCGGAGAGGAGGAGGCTGAGAGGGAGATCTGATAGAGGCTTTCCAAATCCCGAGCGGCTGCTGGGCAGAGGAGGGAGGGAGAAGCTGTTCCTGCTCAGAAAAGGAACAGGAACGAGAGGGATACAGATTTAAAGTGATGTACAAACGAAGCGAGGGTGAAGTGAGGAGAGACTCTCTCACCCAGTGGGTAGTGAGATGTACTGCCTGGAAACGTGGGGGGGGGCAGGTTCAACTGAGGCATTCCAGAGGGGCATTGGAAGGAAGTAGTGTGCTCTATCAATCTGGTCTTGAAGCTGCTTTAATACACGGGTAACCCCAAACCTCCTCCTACAAAACTCAGTCCATTTCACCTGCGATGCCTCGAAACGTCACTCAGAACAGGCCCGACTGTGCCCTTACCTTCTCTGCATCCAGCTCCTGGATTTTCTGAGGCACTTTGACGCTGTAATCCGCTTTGGATATTTTCTCCCTGAGCTTTGCAATCTGCTTCCGAAGTTCTGCTTGCTTCGCCCTGAGCTTCAAGACCTCCTTTTCAGCATCGATCAGGCCCTTTCGAAGAAACGGGTGAGAAACTGTTTGGTGTGTGCGAAACTCTCACAGCGAGGCAACTGTCCAGCACAGAGCCAGGCTAAACAACTTAATACAGCACGGGGTGTGGGGGGGAGCTGGTGTGTGTGTGTGTGCCAGCGAGGGTGGGGCAGGCCAACTCGGGGACAGCAGGGCTCATGCGAGGGGAGGGGGATTGGAGGTAGACCCAAAGCGAAGATGAGTAAGTTATTGTTAAAAGCTTGCTGTGCTCCTTAAACAAGGAGCATTGGCTTCTCTCAGAGAGGTCAGAGTCTTTTGAACTCCCCTTCCCAGTGGGTGTGGGACCTTTAAAGATTTCGGAGGCCGAGCGAGATATGTTCTTGATGACCGGGGGGATGGAAGATGATCAGGGAAAAGCAGAGTTGAGGCTAATACCACGTCAGCCACAATCTCATTCGAGTGGGCAAGCAGGCTGCAAGGGCCGAGTGGCCTACTCCTGTTCCTTGTTGATCCACAGGAATTAACAGCCCATAACATGCTGCTGTTTTATTTGAACAGTCTATAAATTGGTTGAATAAATTAACCGAAAGATGTGAATTCCTTATGTAAAGGCAGCACTTGCTCAGACTCAGTTTCACTGACGGGTGTGGGCACAGAGTGAGTCTCTCTCTCTCTCTCTCTCTCCCCCTCTCCCTCTCTCACGCGCACACAAGGCGTTAATGTTCTCTTTCAGTCAGAAAGTGGAGGGGGGAAGAGGAGGGTGGTCTGCAGCGGTGAGGGGGGTGGGGGACGTAAGGGCAGGGATCCTCGCCCAGTCCAATGGCAGATGGCACTCGTCTCCCTGGTACCTACCTTCAGCATGAGGTGGACGGTGCAGCGGTCCGAAGCGACGACCATGGCACATCCGTCTGGGCACGCCTCGTTCACCAGGAGGGTCACCGACTTGGACGAGGACAGCGTCTGGATGTAGCAGGAGAACGGGCTCACCTGGGCAGCTGTGCCCTCGTCCAAACACGACAGGTAACCTGAGGGCAAAAGGTCACACAAAGAAACCGGGCATCGGCACGGAGTCAGTCCCAACCTCCCCACCTCCTACCCCTGGAATAAACACACCTCATGCAGAAAGGCGGGCCGAGGAGGAGGGGGGGGGGTGGATTTTAATCACACGCAAACGCAGAGAGCACGGCTGGAGAAACTCAGCGGGTCTGGCAGCTTCTGCGGAGACAGCATGTGCATAAGAGAGGGCGAGGGCCAGACAGTCAATGGTCCCAGTCCAACGTGACTCCTCTTCAGAACTGCAGATCCGACGATGTTCTGATGAATCCAAAACGTTTACTTTGCTCTCTCCCTCCACAGAGGCTGCCCGACCCGCTGAGTTTCTCCAGTAAACCTCTCTGCCTTGGCTTCCGATTCCCAGCACCCGCAAGATCTGGCTCCCACTGGAGCATTGTGGGAAGCGTTGTGACCCGCAGTACTGTGAGAAATGCAGGAGACAGCCTGCGCACGGCAAGATCCCACCAACAACAAGAAAGGAAGTCGCTCATCGAGCCAAGCAGGGGCTCAGGAGAAACACAGTTTTTTGATGGGGGAGGCTGGTTACAATGTGCCACCCTCTCCCACGGGACTGACCAGAGATGCGTTGGACCAAATAGCTGTGAAAGATCTGAAGTTCCCGGTGGGGGATGTTGACCAGGAGCACGTGGAAGAAAAGATTACTCTTGTGGAAGAGTCTAGAAAGGGGTCAGCAGGTGGCAAAACAGGGCAGCACAATGGCTCAGTGTTTAGCACTGCTGCCTCACAGCGCCAGGGACCCGGGTTCAATCCCACTCTCGGATGACTGTCTGTGTGGAGTTTGCACATTCTCCCCGTGTCTGCGTGGGTTTCCTCCAGGTGCTCTGGTTTCCTCCCACAGTCCAAAGGTGCGCAGGTCCCATAGTGCCCAGGGATGTGCAGGATGGGGTGGATTGGCCGTGCTAAATTGTCCGATAGTGCCCAGGTATGTGCAGGTTCGGATGGATTGGCCGTACAGCGTTACAGGGGTGGGATGTTGTTCAGAGGGTTGGTACAGCCACGATGGGCTGAGTGGCCTCTTTCAGCACTACAGGGATTCTGTGATCAAGAACAGTACAATGTGTTCTATCAGGTGCTCAGTGGGGGCAAGGGTGGTGAGGCAGCACAGAAGTGAGTCAACTTACAATCTGCTTTGGTCTTGGTGAGGTTATAGTCCGCACGCAGGGAGCGGATGGCGCGGATGATGGCCATAACAAACTCCACAGTGTGGTCTAATTCCTCATTCCTCCAACAGTGCTGCAGAAAGACACAGGCAGCTCATTACAATGCTGCTAATCAGGAATCCCAATTCCCATTCAATCCGATCGCTCATCCCTAAGGAACTGCCAACCCCTCACCCACTGCCTCCTCAAATGTCACTACAGTTCAACGAGAGAGACAGGGGAGGGAGAGGGGTGAAGAGATTCAGAGAGAGACAGAGAGATGGGCGGGGG